CAGAGTCAGTGCTCAGGTGTTGAGTCCCATAGTCATCTTTAGTCCACACTCGCCACAAGTAGCTCTCAGGCCATGCCAGTGCCAGTATTTCATAAAAGTACAAGTCCAGTTGGGATGGAAAGAGTAAACTCTGCCACATGTGAGGTTCCAGAGAAGAGTAATTATTTAATTAGAAGTCCCATAAATGCAAAAGATGCCTTCCATCAGTATTACTTCAGCTGCTGCCCAATATTTTGCTCACTTTTTTTCTTAACTGCTTCTACCAGTCTTTAATTATGCTACCTGACTGTATAGAGTTAGTGTTACCTTACTGTTAGTAAAATAATAGGCAATGCCATCATTCTCTGCAGATGTCTTAAGGGTGCAGTAGTAGAAACTAAGTTCCAAATGCTGCCAGGGAGCACCAGGACAGGCCTGGGACTGCCATATTCCATACTGCTTTGTGGGACAGGATATGTTGCAGTGAACAGATCCAGAGACAAGCTCTTTGTGGCTCAAGCTTTGGTTTAGACCAGGCCCTTGTTCACATTTTATGCAGTACAAGCATTCATCTGCAACAGGAGAATATTCACTTTCCACCTAGTAACCTGTTCCTATGTTGATTATTAGTGTGCCAAACCAACAATATTCTAGCTTAACTTGAAGCTATGCAAATGTAATAGCATTCCAAAAAGAAAAAAGTTCAAGTCCACAGCAACTGTTTTTGCACAGGAACACTACATCAATTTAAAATTTCTGGTCGTACTGTTTACTAGATCAGTTGCATGAGCCATTCAGTTCCTCTTCCTCTTTACTCCACCGAAAGATAGACCTCAGTCAGTTAAATCAGGTTTATTTTACAATAAACACTGGTAATTTAGGAGAATGACATTAATAGGGTGTCTGACCATATTCAACTTCTCCATATGAAGCTGAAACGTACAAAATGTTTCAGGAACTGGGCTTGTTTAGCCTTGAGAAGAGGAGGCTGAGAGGAGACCTGATCACTGCCTACAACTACCTGAAAGGAGGTTGTGGAGAAGTGGGTGTTGGTCTCTTCTCCCTAATGACAGATGATCGGACGAGGGGGAATGGACTCAAGCTGCGCCAGGGGAGGTTTAGATTGGATGTAAGGAAGAAGTTCTTCACTGAAAGGGTTATCACACACTGGAACAGGCTGCCCAGGGAGGTGGTGGAGTCACCATCCCTGGATGTGTTTGAGATGGGTGGATGAGGTGCTGAGAGATATGGTTTAGTGGCGGACAGATACGGTTGGACTGGATGATCTCTGAGGGCTTTTCCAACCTAGTGATTTTATGATTCTATGAAAATGAAATAAGGGGGTGGGGGGAAAAAAGAAAATATCTTCCTGTGTCAGATACATTAACAATTAGCTCAGTCTGAGATGACCAGTATGTCAAATGGGGGTGGGGAAAACTATCTTGAGGAAGTTGTTCAATTTGAGTTGCGTCCTAAAATGCCCAAAATACTCAGTTTCAACTTTACAGATGTAATGCCTGCCTTAAATAATGAAAGCGTGGAAAATCTGCAAGAAATAAAACCTGTGCTAAGCACTAAGTTAGAGCAAATATACGCTCTAAAGGTAATCTAGGTTTTCCCCAGGCTTGTCTAGTGCAAATCCTCTTCTGCCCTTCCCTAGAGGTATTTATAAATAAAGGCTCATACAAGCAAGTTCATATGTCCCCAAAGTTTTCAAGGGTGAGCACATATACATAAGACTGGAGACAGACTCGCATTAAAAGTGAATTGAGCTGCTTACTTTGTTTTCCATTCTCTATAGATTGTTGGGTCTTTCTTAGAAGTGACTACTGTTCTCTGATTAACTGCTGAAAGCAAACCCAGCAACTGGAACCTTGAAAATCACATTTGTCTACTGGTTATCAGTATGCAGGACAACTGCTAGCATTTATCATGGGCTAAGAATTAACTATATATATTTAAAAGTAGGTAGAAATGCACTGTGTACCAGTTATTGTTAACTAACCTGAGATTTTATGCAGCAGTATTACCAACTATTGGAGGCAGAAAAGGAGGAGAGGAGCAGAAACATGAAAAAAGCTAAGGACAGCACAGTGTGTGCACAAAACTACAAGATGCACATTCCTGTTTTCTTATTGTTTGCAAAAACTGATGTACACATAATACTATGGTTTAACTTGAAAGGATTCCGACCTTCATTTACTTAAAGAATTGGAGGAAAAAGTATTTCAGATGCAGTATGTATGCCTCTGTGTCACCCACCCCTCTCACTGTGAAATTTTGGACTGTGTGACACATACGAGAACTGAAATCTTTTAGCAAGATGAGAAAACCAAGGATCTTCAAAGCAAATTCTCTGCAAACCAGAAGTTTGGCATGCAAATCTACTGACAACAGCCTTGGGTTTTTCTACTTTCACTGTGAAGAACTTTAATTATTGTAGTTTAAAATAACCACTACCTCAGTTTCATAAATGAGACACAGGGTCATTTAGATAATACACTAATTGCATCTGTCCCTTAGATAGTTTGTATTAAAATAATTTAATGTCCCAGAAGAGAACCAGAAAATCCTCTGTGCTTTATCTAAATTCTTTGAGATCCACTATGCGTGTTAAAGGTCCAGCCATAGCTCAACTTAAGGACCTCTTATAATAAAACTCACTTCAGCAGAAATAGATCCAGTACTCTTTAGTGCCCTCACAATGTGCCTGATTTTTAGATAAAGGTGAGGATGACAAGCAACCTGCAGTAGGTGAACAGGACACAGCAAGATAAGACCAGTCTTGTAATGATAAACACATCAAGTAATGCTTGCCAAAGATTATTTAACTTGCTTTTTAATCTTTCTTTTATATCCCTGGAGGCTTAGGGTGGAGGAGGGGTGAATCTCCTCATGTCTCCATGTGTGAACCTCTGAATTGTGTAAGAAATGCTGCTTTACACCTTTTATGCCTTGGAGGCCTATGGGCTCTTCAGTGAAGGTGCCCACAGCAGCTCTGTCCTGTCTCCTTTCATACAAATTAAATGCATGCCTTGTCACCCAGTTTGTTTATCCCTTCATGCTGAACTGAAACGGATACCTCTACTGCAGTATCTCTGAGAAACTACTGTCCCTTCTATCCAAATCTGAAGGAATGAAGTCTCCTGTATTGTTTAATGCTCTACCCATTAGACAACAGTTTGTGGTTTTATGAAGAGCCACAGTAGAAAGTCAATGGCCACATGCTAGCCAGTGGCTGCCTATCACTGCAGCACTTCCTCCGCTGTGAAAGAAGATCAAGGCATTGGCCCAAGACTGACTGGAAATAACAATTAAAGCTCAAACAGGCAACTCAGAATTACTTAGGTCCCCCCTAAGAATTACTTAGGTTCACACCAGTGGCAGCTATATCAATACCCTGGTGTTACAGAACTGCCAGTTGTTAGCAGTGTGGCAAGAGTAAAGATAACAATGCAATTCAGCTCAGCCTCTGCTAAATAAACTTTGAAAGAGTACAAAAAGATGTTGAAATCAAAGTCTCTTTTAAATTGTTTTAAATTAGCCATCATTCAGGGGAATAACACCAGTAAATTCTTACTTGAGCATAGAGAATTCACTAACTTTCTAATTCAAGAGCTTCTCTTTTGTTCTGCAAATACTGCAAAACTTACAAGCAGCAAAATTCTCAGTAGCAGCTACTGGTGTACAGTGCCATAAAGACCCAGTTCATCGTTAGTTTAAGCCATGCTAACTAGACTTCTCTGCTCCTAGCCAACACCTAGTAACTATTCAAACCATTGAAGATGGTCAAGCTTGTACAAGCCAGAACTTGTACGCTGGCAGTCAGGCACTGAATATAGTAAGTTACGTGATTTAGTTCTAAAAACTTGCTGTAGATACAGGAAATCTGAAAATATCCCCCTAAGACTTTTTTTTTGTTCACAATTATAATAAAGATCAACCTGTTTCATGAGTACATACTTAAACATTTGGGTTCCTTTTACTGTTTTTCAGAGGAATTGACATATTTTAATGTCTGTTTAGTGGCTAAATTGTTTCACTGTGAGACATTTAATTATAGAAAATAATAATATTTACAGATTTGATAAAGCTGAAACATGAAACTTATACCCCTAAAGGTTAATAAAAATAAGACAAAATAATTCATTTACCCTTCCTAGTCCATCATCTAAATACATGTTATGTTTTACCTCTTAGGTAGTTCTCTTCATTGCAGAAGATATAACTAATACTCAGCTACATGTAATTTCAGAGATGCAAAGTCAGAGCTTTAAACCAACTTCAAAGCAAACTGAATTAGATATGTCTCTATAAGGAAATAAAAACATTCAATTTGAAACCTTAAGAAAAGAAAACCTCACACTTCTGTTCCTCTAGAAAAGCCTGAGCTTCATTCCCAGATTCTTTTATCTGGCACTCAACATTAGAATAAGAAAAGACAGTGCATGGTTTAAAATAACAACTATACCATTCTTGTGACAAAAGAGGATTTTTGGTGCAAGTAAATTTCTTCCTCCTTGCCGAGGTCAAGATATGCCCAGCTAGTACAAAACCACAGCAATAGGCAGGTGCTTCTTGCAGTTGTCTTAATCATATGCAATATCTAGCCTTGGCATATGTTCTATTGAAAACAGAAATTAAAATTAATCACCCTCTAGGGCAATGGAACGGGAGCCCTTAATGGAAAAAAAACTCTTCAACTGTTCCAATGCTGAACCCAGTTTTAAGTTTATCCAGTGTATCACTGCAGAATAAAAATAATGTAAATAAACTAGTCTTGCCCCATGCATCTGGAATACCTTGTTTTACTTAAATTGTCTGTTCTCCTTCCTAGTTCTTCAATTAAATTGACTACATTCAGCACCTTTTTTTAAAAAAACAAGGTGATTCCATAGCTGTGAATGCAATACAGAGTAAAAAAGTAAAAAATATTACTCTCTGATTATGTTTGCAATAAATAATGAACATAACATTTGCATAATGCTTGTGACAGCCTGGTTAAACGGAGAACCTCATACCTGCTCTTGTGGCCACTTCTGTCTCTCCTCTGGGGTTCTTGACTTTGCTTTAAAACCTCTGGGTGCATCTCCATTGTGCTTAGAGGCAGATGGAATATTCAGTGACTTTGGCCTCCCCTCGTGCCTGTTGCCACTGTGAACAGCTTCTCCCTTTGAACAAGTCTCTTTATAGTCATGTGCCATGTTTTCAGTCCCAGTGTGCTCTGGACTCATTTCTGTTGTACTGTTAATGCTGCTCATGCTCATACTCATTTTGATTTCTGCTACAATCTGGTCTATGTCCTCTTCTTGGTCTTCCAGTTCTGCATCCTCTTTTCTAGAATGGTATGGCGATATTCCCTGTGAGTTTCCATTGGCCTCTGCTGGGTAATAGTCCAGATAGCCACCTTCACTTTGACAATACTGTATATTTTCTTCTTGGTCTTGTATCTCCAAAGATGACACCTCATCCTCCAAAATCTGAACACCATTATCCTGACCTTCCTGCCACTCTTGCCTATCTGTCACCTCAGTTTCATCTTCATGCTGAATCTTACCTTCAGCCCATTCTTCTACAGCTTCCTGACATTCATCTGTCTCAACATGGTGTTCCTCATGGGGAGCATACTCCTCCCCGTTGCAGTCCATTCCTTCCAGGTAACTGTCATCCTCTGGACAGTATCTAATGTAGTATGTGATCCCCTCCTCTTCTTCTGGCAAGCCTTCATCATAGTCCTCCTCCTCAGAGGTGTTATTCACATAATCAGAGCTGGAGTCACCATCTCCACTATGATCATTGCACTCATGTTCTGCAGGTGTAGGACTGCCTTGTCTGACAGTTGCTAGTTCTGCCTCCTTTGCTGCATAATCTTCAATAGGAAGGTCACTTTCTTCATTTTCAGGCTCCCTGTTGTGAGATGAAGTAGGGCAAGCTCTCACTCTGTGATCCAGCATGCTGGCTGTAGTGCTCTGATGTTTCCTGTTTGCCATAGCCAACTCCTTATATGACAATCATTTCTAAGCAATTACTGTAGGGAAGATGGAAAAACACACATTCAGGAAAAGGCCATCAGTAGAGATAAGTGATCTTAAAAGGAAACAAACTGATAGATTTATTTAGTAAAAAGGGTGTCTCTGTAGATATTTAAACTAGATTCACAGACAGCTAACTTTTTAAAATGCTCATGTTATGGAACCATGAAAGCAAAGTACTATCTCGCACACTGAAAGGAACAGATAAAGAGAAGGTTCTACATTCATGCTGAATGTATTCTAGTGCAAGATCTCCTCTGTCAATTTGACAGAGAATTAATCCTAAACCTTGAAATTAGTTTTCAATTTCTTTTTCTTGCCAGTAAGGGGTCATGCTTTGATTGCTGTGCAGTAAACAGGAACTCTTCAATTTTCAGCTTAGGCATTTCTTTAATGTGTACTGAAAGCATACATTTAGAATCTGACCTGCTCTTACCAAAACTAAAGGAAAATAATTCTATTGACTTGGCAGTCACATAGGGCACTACAGGATAATGCACTGCTATTAAGAAGTTATTTTTTAAAATCACTCACTGATCTGTTAGCTCTTACTAGCTGGATGTCATTATATACCACTGTTAAGCCAAATGCTGTTTTTGAAGTAGTGTATTTCAGTTGGAAGGGACCTACAATGATCTAGTCCAACTGCCTGACCACTTCAGGGCTGACTGAAAATTAAAGCATGTTAAGGGCCTTGTCCAAGTATCTCTTAAAACACCAGCAGGCCGGGGGCATTGGCCACCTCTCTGGGCAGCCTGTTCCACTGTTTGACCACCCTCTTGGTAACGAAATGCTTCCTAATGTCAAGTCTGAACCTCCACTGGCACAGCTTTAAACTGCACCCAGGCACCCTGTCACTGGATACCAGGTAGATCAGCACCTCCCTCCCTCTCCCATTCCCCTCAGGAAGTTGTAGAGAGCAGTGAGGCATCAGCCTCCTTTCCTCCAAACTAGATGAGCCCAGAGTCCTCAGCTGCTCCTCACAGGATATTGCTTCCAGCCCTTTCACCAGCTTTGCTGCCCTTCCCTGGACACATACAAGGACCATCACATCCCTCTCAAACCGAGTACTGCACACAGCACTCCAGGTGAGGCTGTACCAGTGCTGAATACAGCAGGATAATCCCCGCTTTTGAGCAGCTGGTCATTCTGTGTTTGATGCGCCCCAGGATGCCGACTGCCCTCTTGGCTGCCAGGGCATGCTGCTGGCTCATGTTGAGCCTGTTGCCGACCAGCACCCCCAGATCCCTTTCTGCAGGGCTGCTCACCAGCCACTCCTCCCCCAGTTTATACCTGTGCCTGGTATTGCTCAGTCCCTGTTGCAAATCTGGCATTTTGACCTCTTAAATTTCATCCCATTAATCACAGTCCAATGCTCCAATCTATCTAGATCCCTCTGCAAGATTGTTTTTCAAATAATGTAATATGTATGCCAGGAAGAAAAACATATTTACAATGAAAGCTCATTAATTCTTCCCACTAAATACTTGTGCTACTTTAAGTTATGTATTTTTGTCTAAATACTGGATTCTGAATAAATAAGCAGATTATATGAACTGTATCAAAAATGAAAGGCCTGTCTAGAATTTATTTTGACCAACTGTGATCTGCTTTGTATGATTTGGATGGGAGGAGGGGGGAAGTACTTTCAGTAGGTATGTTTCCCTATGTGTTTCATTGTTGTGCACTTACAATACATGTGACCTGTGCAGTTACTTAACTGGGGTGAACTGAGCTCAGTTTCCCAGTGATTACTTGCACTCTCCCACTTAAAGGAACTAGCAAACTTACAAGATTGCTCCATATGACCTGTATGCCCACTGTGATCCCTTTAATAAACTAGCTATCAATTCTTACTTTGGAGTCAGTTGTAAGAAACTCAGAACACCAAGCCATCTGTCCACTGATTTAGTTAGAGCTACTTACTGCAAACTAAGAATGTTTCTACACTGTAAAACTTACTTTACACTGGATTAAAATAGCAGTCTAGTCACAACACTACAAAGCTCTGCACAGGCTGTGAAAAATTGTCCACATGCAAGATAAACTGCTTCTGTGATCAGATCAGCTCACTAGACAAACATGTCTGAACCAAGTGAAGACTGAGTGCTAAAAAAAGATGTATTTGTATGCCAAAGCAAGAAAGAACTACAGATTCCTCATCTGTCTTAACTGAAAGTTATTTCTTGTCAAGAACAGAACACATTAGTATCACTTGGACAGAACTGTTCTCATCTGCAGTGGCCTCAGTCTGCTAGTCAATGGAAATGCTCTCCATATTATGTAATAGAGATTTACAGTGCAGGAGACCCTGAACACAGGTCACTACAGTGGAGCTGAAGATAAAGAATCACAAAGCATGTAACAGAAGCACAGCTTGAAATTCATGACTCAGATTTTCCTAAAGCATAGGGAGATGAGAACCCTTTTTTTTTTTTTGCTAGACAGTGCAGTGCAATGTGGTTTTTCCACCCATTTCTAAGAATCTTTGTTTAGTATCCAGGCCCTGAAACTGCCGTAAGTATCACTGCAGTGATACCCTTTTATAAATTCCAGCAGTTGAATGTCCATAGATGTTACTTACCTGCAAGAAAATCCCCTGCATGTTGGAAGCCATTCATACGTATTCTGAGAGAAAAAGCCAGTGACGAGACAGGGCAGGAGGCTAGAAAGGGAGGGATGGCTGATGCACAGCA